AAACTGTGTGAGGGAACAAAAAACCTCCGTAACTCCGTTCAGCGAATCGTTTGGCAGATTTGGGAAGAAGATTCGAGATCAGCGTCCGAAACCACATACCATGATACTTGTCTCATTTCATATGGCCACTTCGACCCTTCATCCTTCCCTAGTTAATATTTACTGCTCATCCTTGATCACAGTGAATACATGTTCCGGTCACTCATTAACCCCTCCCCTTCAAATATTTATTTATTATTTCGTTCTAGGTGTGTACGCTACGTTTTTTTAATTTCAAACATTATGTCAACAAGAAACGCTTGGAAAGGAATTTAAAACAGCCAAAAACAGCATTTAGGCCGTTGTCAGACTGTGCGAATTGAGCGATTCGCTACTAGCGATTCGCTAGCGTCCGCGGTTGCGTAGCGGTATTGGCCGAATTCACTGGCCGCGACGCGACCGCAACGCTAGCAAATCGCTCGATTCGCAAAGTCTGACATCGGCCTCGCGCGAAAACGATTTTTTGTGAGATAAAGCAGCCCCTGAATTTTTTTAACAAGTAACCAACCTTTCAGTGCAACTTGTAGCAATCCACATGGATTATACAGATCGTCAACGATGACCGTATCGAATCTGAAATAAATTAGTGGTGTTCTCTATGTTGTGCTATTAGCATGAATCTAGGGGGACCTACGTGACTATTCAAACTTCCCTCCATGTTCTCTCTTGTAGCTAACGCTACTGTACATTTAGAGGTTCACTCATTTATTTTTACCTAATTGAGTTCTTTTCATATAAGATTTACATTTAATCAATATTGCTTTCCGAGTTTATAGCTAGTGACTAATTCTATGTCTTACAGGAAATGTCACATTCCATAGCCACCTGCTTTTCAAGAAGAGAGCTTAGCAGTATGCTTCTTGTGATGTGCCGGTCGTCCAGCTGCAGAACGCTCATAAAAGGGGACTTGGACTGGAGTCAGGGCCCTCTTCTGGATTGGCTCTGATCGAGTGCGGTCGTCTCAAGCTCAAGAAAGGATCCCCAAACGACCATCCGAGGACGTCTTATTCCAGCAATACAAGGACGCGGCATATCTACGTAGTGCGTAACGTTATTCGCTGTTGACATAACAATAAATTGTTAGTACTATTCTGGTTCAGTACGATCAAGAAAGAATCCGTGTGGCACAAGAAAAGGCGAGAAACTTTGGCTGCAAGTAGCTAGATCTCTTGCGAAAGGCTAGAGCGCAGACAGACTTATAGAGAGCACTGCGGTTCTGCCTTCGAACGTTGCTAGCGAGAAAATCCGTGATCTAGTAGGAGCGCAGCAAGCGAGAGGTGAGCGGATACAATTTTGATAATGAGGCGAAAAAAGATGGAAGTGCGTTCTGAAATCACGGGGCAAGAGACTCTGTCTAAGGAGAGAGCGCTGGCCGAACGGACACATGACCCTAGATACTAGCTGTGGGGTGAAAGCTTTCGATGATTGAATTGTGCGATTCTCCCATATTCTCTGCGAAAAGATAGGAGGGAGTGTGGACCGGAGATCGAAGTGGCCTATCCCAAACTAGGCGTAACAAATCGGGCACTAAAATTTTGCTGTATCAACATTCCATAATCGCCCCTCCTTCTTATCCTTCACGAATCAACGTTCGTTTCTTAGTAATTCGAAACTGGGTGTTGCGTTATGATAAAACTAGGTTCTAGAGTTCGTTCACAGACGCTTTTGGGATATCACTCATCAAAGGGATAGCACTGACCAGAGGGCGGGGTCGTACCAAGACCTCCTTCAGAGGGCGGAGGAAGGGGATCTCACTGCCGTGGCCATTTCCTTGAAGGACTGAGTCTGCATCAAAAGTTGACTTTTGCATTAATGCTACTGCTCACCTTTCCTTGACCAGCTCGTCGAAACTTTGCTTTACTCCGGGACAGCAGCCGATCACACAACCTCACTGATGCCAACCATGCCGTTGTTTGCTCATTTGGGATATTCAAAATATGGATCCCATAGCTGAAAAAAGCAGCTTCTTTACGGCTATGCAAAAATGACAGCAATCGTGATATAGTACCACCGACTATAAATAATTCGCCTAAGTAGTGTCTGTTGTGTGCTTGTTGTGTCTGTGTGCACTCCGTCTGTCTGTCACGAAAGTCATAGCGCGCGTCGCAGCGGGGGTTGATTTTGAGACCATATGTTTGGCAGGTGATAGAAGCTATAGCAACTGGTTCTAATATAGAGATAAAAATAAGAGCAGCTTTGATCAGTTCTTTCCTTGAGATGCGCCGCGTGCTATTTCTAATTCAGATTCGCAGGGTACACTGGATGGAAATGACTCATAGAGGGACTTTTGAGAGCTAGCTAAGGTGCTGGTCAATATTTTTGTATTCTGAAACAAGTTGAAGGGCGAGGAGCCAAAACCCCAGGTCAACGATAGACTTGGCGAGTCTGCGAGGAAACTCTGAGAGAACGCCACCTAAAATCCTACGGCGAGATAAACGGCAGCCACCGTGCCACCGCGCCTACCCTTCGCGCCTAATTTCTTATATAACACGGCATATTTCAGCATACTTTCTCACTATAGCCATGTATCGGAATCGAATTGGCTCCATTTGACAGCGAGCAAATCATCTGCATCCGCAAACAGATTTCAGATTTGCATGCCAAACACAGCTTTGATGGGTGCGCCATGCACTCCATTCCTTTGGTGAAATGAACGGCCCAACAAAGAACATCGGTTTGAAACGGATCTCAACGTCCTGTGACCGGCCGATTGATTTCATATTCTGACAATAGCGGTGTGTTTGAGCACAATGTCCACAACGAACTCAAATACAGCTCCGTGAAGAACATCCGCTAATGAGAAAGGAAAATGGGCTCTTTTGCCAGTAGAAAACTTCAAGAATTGACGATAGCTTTTTTTCAAGTACGTAAAGCTTTTTCATTCATATTTCATTTTTACACATTCTTTTTAATTCCATTCCAGAATTACAGCAATTCCTGCACGAACCTGATCATGAACAGAATGATTTCGATGGACGAAAATATCGCTGAAGATCTGCTGATCAAACTTCACAGGCCAATAGACTCGTTTCACCGCCTTCGGCAACGTCGTTTTTGACTGAAACATTAGTATTAGAAGTATCACAAGCTATAAAATTCCCATAGGTGGCTCTGGAAATGCAAAATTCACCTGTACTGGTCCGTATTCCAGCCAGGTAATGTCATGATTTCGCCGTGCCAATTCATCTGCCAAATATTTCATAGTGTAGCCGTGCATGGGATATAGAGTGCTCGGCATGAACAGCACTTTCGCCGAGTCGACGAAGCCGGCCACCACGGCAAGCACAGCAACCACGACGGCTGTCCGCATCTGAAATCTGTTGAGCCGTGAGATCAAATTGACACCATCCAAAAGCGTGGCAAAGCTGGTCGATCAAGGTGGTAAATGGGAGTCGGGCTTTCCGCCATTTTCTCCATCTTAACTTCAGACCGTCGACTGCAAGTCAATGAAGAGCCTTGGAAGTCGGTGAAAAGCGATAATTCGTCTAAGAATCCAAGGGTTTACGGGTAAATTTTCTTTCATAACTGCTCTGAAGAGGCCAGCGGTTTCCAAGGCTACTTATTACTTTTGATTTTATCCGCCCCCCCCATCTCTTAACACGAAACCAGAAAGAAAACTTCCCAAATAGCCAATAAATTCACCAATAGACCAAATCCCCATAACTGACGTAAAGCTTCATCCGTACTGCACCCTTCCCATCATCAGCATCTCGGAATAACATCCAAAAAACGCTAATGAGTGAGAGAACGAAAGGCACGAAAGAGCAGAAGAAACATGTTTGGGTAGAGAAAAGTAAGAGGAAAAGGTCATATTAAGGTAAAAGGAAGATGAATCAGTCAAACAATCGCGACTGACAGCGGAAAATGATGGTGACGCGGGAGACCGAAGAAGTGTCGTCTTCAGTGCTCTACTGTTTAACCTCTTAGACATTCCACGCGTTCATTGTTCAACAACAGCGGAAGTGAAAATCAAAGGATTAGGCAAAAGTATGGATTGGTCAGACTTGTTTTATGCGCCACGCATTTTGCTTCTGTTAAGAAATGTAGTGATTTGAATGCGATGTGGCCTATACAATGACTTGCGGGGGCCAGCCGATGTACAAGTCAGTGTTTTTATCCTCCCAGACAAGTCTGGTACCAATTAACCGACCCCGGAGGGATGGAAGGCTTGGTTGGCCCGGGCGACTCACGACCCAGGATTTGATCCCCGGACCGCTCGCGTGGTAAGCGTGCCACTTGTCCACTACACCACTTCCGCCCACTGTTTACAAGAGAAAGTGAGTAAAATTGGAAACGTTTTTGTCACAAGAATGTTGTTGTTAACCAAATTTTGCCCATGCGGGACTCGAAAACTGACCACCCGCTCGTTACGGCAAGTGCGAGCTACAGTTACGCTTTACCGGGCACCTTTCATCCAACTTTTCAAGTTCTCTTTATTTACTTACTCGCACTTTATGAAAAGCTGAGTCAGCACCGCCACACGACTTAACGTGTGTGCCGCAGAGAATCGATATCGGCGAGACTTGAGGCTGAAAGGCTTTAGAATGAATTTTGGACTTTGAACTTGTAACTTGTAGCGCATTTGCCCGGTAAGTAAGAGGTGCGGGTTCGCGTCTCGTCTGGAGCGAAAGTATTGTTCACAACCCAGCATTCTTGTGAATCGATTCTTAATTCAAACCTTACGGGCCCACAAAGTAGGCAACGCTGAACAAGCCTGCCGTAAGCGGGCTACTTCGAAGTGATATCTTAAATTCTACTGCTTAAATTCTACTGGCAGACTGCATTAATTCTTCAGCCTTGATCCAGGTAGAAAAAATTCTTCCTAGCCCTGGATAGTGTGAAGCGGTTGCCTCCTGATCACACATGACAATCAAGAACGATGAGAAGTTCAGGCACAGCTATCAAAATCTACGCTATAAGAAAGACAGACTGAACGAATTCAGTAATCGGAAACTGATTAGGAAGGGACACCAACAGAAAAAAGAAAACAGAGAGAAAGGCTGAAAAACACTCGATAAAGGGAAGAAAGTAAAAAAGGAAGAAGGGAGAAAAAATGGAAGAAAAGCAACTTATACTAGGGCACATCGCATTTGAAATTTTACTGATAGAGGGAGCCATGCATTCGATTTCTGCCAAAAATCGTAGGAAGTCTCAAAAGTGTTATGGCACAAATGGAAAAGATGGCATATTGGAGGCAAAATCACATAATAAATATGTAAAAGAGAAACATATAGGAGCCGAAGATGTTTGGATCATGAAGAAGCTAATCGAACTTCCTTACAATCGGAACTTGAACTCGCTCCCTTCAGCGCACAAAGCTAAGCAATCAGTTCGCTGTGGATTAATGGAAGCACTGCATGTTGAAGGTGGAAGCCGTGCGCATCAACACTTACACATACGGCAATCACACATTGATTAGGTTCAATCGGTCGAGGGCACCTTATTCGCTGTGTTTGAACGAAACATCACCGAAACCGGATTGAATGCGCAAAAAGTCAATGCGTCTTGCGTGTTTTTACGAGGAGCAAATAAATGATTGGACCAGTGGTTTTTTGCTACTGAAAATGTCGAAATTGATATTTTTTAGACAAATCTGCCCCATGACTCCGAACCTTAGGGGGTAAACTTTGCGGTTCTTCCAATCTAAGTTTGTTTATGGTTTGACTTGTCTCACTCTCATTCAGAATCGAAATTCCCTAGCAAGGAAAGATCAATTGGGCTGCCCGGCCATTGGAAATGAGATGTACAGGGGGGGGGCAAAAAAAAGAGTCACTCTGACTCACATTCAAAACAGAATAATTAAACTTTTGCCGGAACCAAACCAAATGAGCTCAATTGCATATTGAAAAGCACATTCTATTCTATCAGAAAAATCACATAGGGGCTTTCTACACCGACGACATCAGAAGATTTTCCCACGGAAACATGGTTCGCGGTACGAGCTCAACGAGGTCGTCAAGAAACCATAGACGATTACGACGTCTCTGATAAGCTGTATCAATAATCATTCTGCGTATTCAGATGCTAGGTGTCCCTTAGGAAATCGTCTTTCCCCCATTCACCAGTTATCCGAGAGAAATTATGTAGCAGCTTCAGAATGGAGCGATTATGGTAGGCCTCCTTGAGCTCGACGGTGATGACAGATGACGTCATATTCTGGAGACGGTGAAAGCAGCGAAGGTGGGCCTGATTCTGCTTATGGGGGGACATCTAAGGAATAATTCGCCGTATAACTCCCAATAACAGCGGCATCCTTTGCGACGAAAAGTTTGATGATATGCGCCATGGGCAAAGTGACTCTTTTTTTTGGCCCCCCCTGTATACCTAGGTACATGCTCGATTCGCTATGTTCGTTCAATAAAATAAATTATTGATTTTGTATATAATTGAATTGTTCAGTTTGTAAAACCAAAAGTTGTTTTTGGATCTCAATATTATTATATGTACTTTTTCAAAATTTATTTAGGGGGTGGGATTCGAAGAGTCTCCGTTTCGCACGTGCCCTTAGACGGAGACTAAACGAAAGCTCATCAGTAAGGGAGGAGAGGAACAAAGAATCTGACCGACATTATTACAGTAGTTATTAAACAAAGATGTAAAAGTTGTTAGCGTGAAAAGAAGTCTCGTTTTCATTCCCTTATTTTTAGTATTTCTAAATCTGCTTTCGCTATCTGCGGAACAATTATCTGAAAGAAGTTATGAAGCAGGAAAGCGCAGCGGTAGTACCCTGAGTCAAAGACAAATGGTCGTGGGATGGACTCCAATGCGAGAGCACACTTTTGCTCTTTTTAAATCCATGTTAAAAGTTTTTCTAGCTATATTTCCGAGGAGAGTAAAAGGATGGACTCGCACCGGCCAGAAGCTCTTTCCTGTGAATCAGGGGTATTACCGCGGCGCTTTACTGTTCCGCAACATGCTTCAGGAAATCGTTCCACAGATAACAAAGGCGGGCTTGAACTCAGCGTCTCAAGGCACATACGTGGGTATACATCTAATTTTGAATGGCTGACCAACCAACTGAACTTTGGCTGCAGTTCTGTATCAAGATGG